AGAAGCAACCCGTGAAGGCACACAGGTGGAAGAGATAAAATGCAATAAAGAAAAAGCTAGAGTAACAAACTTTCACGTTTCCCCAATAACCTAGAGGGGTCCCCAGCAACGGCGCCAAAAACTTGACATGCTATGACACAACACCAAACTGCGACCAAGTGTAATCGCAGTCCAGGAATGCAGTAAAGTAGCAAGCTCTAATTATCAACCCTGGGTCTAGATCTACTGCCTACTCCGTGAATATCTATTATCTAGCCAACTAAGTCGATTGATTGTGGTTATAACTTAAAGCAGTAAGAAAGCAGAAAATGATTCGGTTTTCTAAATCAAAGGAAGAGTCACTCGGGAATGAGTCCCCCTAGCTCCTTAGTTAGGTCTCAGTGGTAATTACCCTGGGTTGGTTTACTGTTGATTAAACTGCGGAAGATCCGACAGTAGCTTGGAATCTCTTAAGCTGACCAAGCCCTCTCAGTCTAACTACCCGGCAGACGACTAGTCTTCACCAGGATAGAAAGCAGTAGACTGACAGTAGCTTGGAATCTCTTAAGCAATAAGCATAGAACTCCACTACTGGAGATTTCACTCTTTGGCTCAACCTTCCATACTCCTCATCCTCGTGCTTCTTTGGCTCAAGATTTCACTCTTTGGCTCAACCTTCCATACTCCTCATCCTCGTGCTTCTTTGGCGCACGATTTCACTCTTTCTATATGAAATTCAATGGCGTGCCCTTACCTTGTCTTGAATAGCTTACGATAGTTCTTATATGTACTCTTGACCATCACATATATTCTCATCTAGCTTGGTAGCATCAAATAGGTTTGAGTGACTCATTGCCCTTTTCAAAATTTTCCAACTTGGGCCCAGGGTGTGATGTTGAACCTATCGAAGTCGAGGTATCACATTTCCTCCCCACTTATAGAAATTTCTCCCTCGAAATTTGTCCACTGTGATTACCCTAAGCATCGCTTGTGGAAATCCTTTTCACATCGAGGATTTTTATTTCCTTTAACTTATACGACATGACCTAAAATCCTTCTCTCCATTCCCTGCAACTTCAATGTTGTTGTGACTTCTTAACCCCTCACATTACCTCGGCTGCACCTTGTACATATATAGGAACGATAACTATCCATTGTTCGGTACATGAGAAGTTAATGCCCCTCTCCAACCCCAAGGTCACTGATGGCGGCTTATCCTCCCTCTAGTAAGGTGGTAACACTCTTTTAACGTAACTCTCGTCTGGGGTTTACCTCATAGTCGACCTAGGACGTTGTACCTCCTGACTTTGTATCTCTTACTTACTTCTTTGATGCTTCGTCTTATCCTTTAACCATAAACTGAGTGGTCCTCTCCTTGTTACTTGTTGCTTAACTCTGAAATCTCATACTACTGCTTTTACTTCCTGTATGCATTAAAGGCATCCTTTGCATCTTTCTCTAGCTTGCTAACAACTATATGACTCCCTTCAAGAGTCACGAACTTCCCTTTGGCTTACCTGTTCACTCCTGGCACCTAACTTAGCACTTCCTTATCGCCACCTTTATTTGAAGTTCTCGTACTATCCATTCTGCTACTCTTAGACCCTAGCTGAAATTCCTCATACGGTTTCCCCGTCCAATAGAGTTTTACCCGAGAGATTGACACCTTTCACCAACATAGGCAATCTTGGTTTCACTTTTGGGTATTCTAGCAGGTTCACTAAACTTATATCCTCTTACTTTTTTACTCATGACTCTTCTTCTTGATGTTCCTTGCTAGTTCTAGATTATGTCCCTCGTCCTCGATGTAGTCATCTTGGTGCCCATATGCTCTTCTCACTTATGTACCTTGACCGATAAGGTTTTCCCTTCGACCGTTCTGAACCACCACAGTTCTACTTTAAAGTTGACCATTTAGCTTCTCAGTTCTTGATGGTCTTCCTATGGTCCAACTTATTCTCCACTGGCAATCACCTTAACGCCTCCTTGTTGACCTTCGTATTCTTTCGCCGGCTCTTCCTAACTATCTTTATCCTTGAATTTTTCGTTTTATCAACTACCACCCTTTTCACCATAACTTTCATTATAGCCTTGTGGTTTCCTCCTTACTTCCACAACTCCTTCATCGATGCTTGGTACTAGCTTTGATCTACTCAGTTTAGTAGCTCTCCGCCATACCTCAGAGCCAACATTTCCACTAGAAACCTTCTCTAGGTAGATTTGACAGATGACACCCACGACTTCTACTCACGATGGTGCTTGACCAAGTCCCAACTATCTTCCTTCACGCATTCATTTTCCGGTCGACAACCACCCCTTTTTTATTTCCTATAGCGTCCTATGGTGTTCTCCTTGGTTCTTTACTTTTACTACCCTTCTGTTGATGCTTTGTACTATTTTCGGTCACCAAACTCTATTGAGTATCTTCTCTTTGTTGTTTTGGGTTAGAGCTTCCAATAGTGGCTTGCCCTTGGTAGGCTTGAACATACCTCATCCACATATTTTGTCTCGACCGATGCTTGTACACAGCCTTAATCTCTTAGTCATGGCTCTTAGTGGCTTAACTAAATATCACTAATTTATCCTTAACTGGCCTCTTTTATGGATGACACCTTGGGTAAGGTAACTTAATGATTTCCTCCTTCTTGGTAATGCTTTTCCTCGTTGCCTTAACCCTTTGAATTCTTAACGTCCTTTCAAACTCCCTGTAACCTAGTTATTTCCTCATTTGCTTCATTTATACTACCTTAGCTTTTCTTAAAGTATAAGCTTTCCACTAATCCTGGTCACTGTGTTGTAATAGCGTCGAGCCATCGACCACAAAAACTAGCTGAGGGACTTCTCGGGGTACCTCTTCGTTTCTTGACCCGTTGCCCACTTTCCACTGCTTAGGACCAAAGACCTTAACATCATCCTATTATCATAGCTACTGGCATCTGGTGATTGTTCCTCTTCCTTTGGAGATTCATATTTATCCCCTTTGTTTGTCTTAGCTTATTAGATCATCCACTTGTTTCCTAGTAGTAAAATCCTCGTACATTTGATTCTACCTCCACAGACCTTTGCAACGTTCCTCCTTCCTTCTCTAGGTTGATGATGATGCTCTGTTTGCTAACGTCCGAGTAGTTGGTTAACTAATTGAAAAACTACTATCCATAATGTCGATGAGATACTTGCTCTTGAGAGCCCTTGAGATTCTATTTGTGTTGGTCGCGCTCCTTTCATCCTTTCCTTCTTACTAGCGATCACCATATGCCTAAATCTCTCATTTGACAAACCTTGACATGTTAACTAAATCGCGTCCTAGACTATTCTTAAACAATCGCACCCTGGCTACCATCCCTTCGTGTCGTGCCGTCATAGTTATTCAACTTACTATTATTAGAGTAGACTGGAGATTCTATAAACTCTTAAAAGAAGATCCTTGACTCGTTTTCCTTTCCTTTAAAACAAAAGCCTTTAAAACTGAGACCGATATTCCAGTATTCTTTGGAGACCAAGGAACAGAGGAAAACCGGCTCTGATACCAAAATGAAACACCCTAACCCGGCCTGGTACTAATTTTACCAAAATACCCTCAATAAACCGTGAAATAAAATAAGAATTGGAAATACTTAGAAAAATAGTGGAACATTTCGTAAATAACTTTAATAAATACCGAAAACAAGTGTCAATACTTAAACACAAAGCTTGACACTTGGGCAAACTCAAACCTTAAAATCTCAAAATGATCTCCAGCCTATACTCATAATCATAAACTGAAACATCTAAAAATTCTCTAATGCTACTGCTTCCTGAAAGCCTTGACCCGACATCCTTAGTGGCGCTTGTACTTCCCTCCTCCAGCTGGCTGCCGTCAAACTGCTCCTCTCGAACTCGCTGCTCTCTAACTCCTCTTAGTCCTCCTCAAACAGGTGACTGAGATGGGGTCATTCTACACCCTTACGTTTAACATCTTATTATACATTAGTATTCTTCTCTAAACACTTAACTTCTACTGGTGGAAGTCGTTTTGTACTTCCATTCTCAACAATCTTAACTCATAAAATTCTTCGGGAGTTAAAGTTACTCTCCCTTCTTAAAGCTCAAAACTTAACTTAAATCTTTTGACTGACACGGGGATCCCTCACTAGCTAGTCCGGTTGCCAACTCATACTTATGAGAAGCCATTCAGGCTATCCTTAAACTTAAACTTAGTTAGGAAAGGCGTAACGATTTATCCCCTTAACATCTTAAACTTATCGTGGTGGCTCTTCACCACGATTCTCAAGAGCATAACTGCTGCTCATCTTAAAAGTCTCAAGAGCATAACTGCTGCTCTATCTCAAAGATCTCAAGAGCATAACTGCTGCTCTATCTGAAAATCTCAAATGGCAACGGACTGGCGCTAGCGACTAAAAACACTTAAAACGACTTCACCTTCTTGAAAGTGAGTTACTTCTTAAAAAGAACTTGCTTCTTAAACTTTAACAATAACTCAAACATAATACTTTAAGGTAAATAGCACAAAATCACCTCATATCACCTCAAACAACACAAATCACCTCAAATCATAGCTCAAGCAAAGTACAAATAACCAATCATAAACATAATCAAGCAATGGTAACCAATTCACTAAAATACTTTAAATCATAATACTTAAAAGTATACGTAAGGCGTAGAATTTACCTCCTTTACACTCACCTTAAATTGAAACTTATTGGATTGAATCAGTTAATGCCCAAGATGATTTCCCTTCATTTAAATCAATTGGTGCCGCAAAATCTCACCACCAGTCGAACGTGAGGGAGAATGGACAGGCATTCTCAATGCTCGCTTCCATTAGAATAGGACACTTCTACTCCTACTTGCTTGAATAAAATGGACCAGCTTGCTTCGGTGGGGATGGCAATAACAATGGACCAGCTTGCTTAACAATGGACCAGCTTGATTATGCTAGCAGCTCTCATAGTAGGGAGGAGGGATGGCAATAAGAACGTGGACGAGGTGGCTTGATCGCTCTCAACTCAAGACGAGCTTGCTTAAGCTAGCAGCTCTCGTACTAGCGAGAAAAGGAGCCCCACGTCGATGACGAAGCTGCATCTCGATGAGTCAGCGATCTCCCCAAGCAAGCTGCTCTCGGTCCGATCCCAGTTCTTCTCCTTCCCTGCAAGCAAGCTGCTCTCGTAGTAGCGTGGCCAATAATTTCTGCGCTCCGCAAGCAAGCTGCTCTCGTGGTACCGGGGACTATGCATCCTGCGATCTAGGTCAGCAATCAAGCTGTCTACCAAACTTTGCTTTGATCTCCCGAGGGCAAGTTGCTTTCGGTGGAGAAGGCTGCGAGGTTTTTATGGTGAGGCCGAGTGGGTTAGGTAAGGGTTCTAGGGTTTTAATTAGTCAAAGGGTTTTTTTTGGAAATTCACACTTGCAGGTGAGTTTAATCCAAAACTCAATTAATATCCGTAACTTTCTCATTTGATGTCGAAATTCGACACCGCTTGAAACGATAGTTCACATTTTTAGTCCTCCTCGACATTATGGTGAAGTTTGACAAATTTTGACAGTCGTCATTTTGCCGTAGAAAAAGATGGGGTGTAACACCTTAGGTTCCTAAGAACCTAAATGCACAAACCTAAGAATGCTAAGCACAAAACATGCGCAACCCCTAGATTACTAAACACAAGTATGCACAATCGACATTAATAATACATCAATCCTTGAATTAAACACTACCCAATGACAATCATTCAATCTAAACAAGTAATTACAAAGTATTAGTTAGAGATCTACAACACCCAAGAGAAAATAGTGAGTTTCGAGAGAGAGAGAGAGAGAGAGAGAGAGAGAGAGAGAGAGAGAGAGAGAGAGAGAGAGAGAGAGAGAGAGAGAGGGAGGGAGGGATTACAAATTTGAGCTCAAGATCTTCTTCTTCTTTTTCTTCTAAGCTTGAATCTTCCACCCAAGCCTTCAATGATGCTCCAAGATCACTCTATCACTCACTCTCTCTCTCTCTCTCTCTCTCTCTCTCTCTCTCTCACTAGAACTCCCTTTGGTGTTTAGGTTGAAACCCCAGTGAAAGAAACTGTTTCTTCTCAAAAACCAGCTTCCTCTTTCTCTCTCCCCGCTGCTGTCTTCATATTTGCCCAAAAGTGACCAGTTCACGGACGCGTAGGTAAGTTCACGGCCGTGAACACCTAAACGCGTCCGTGAACTCAGCGTCATCCAAAACGCGCCGCTTCACTCTGATGGGTTCACAATCAATGCCCCCAGTTCACGGTCTTAGAGACCGTGAACTGCCTTATCGTCAGTAACTGCTCGATGTTCACGGTTTGTGGTCCATGTTCATGGTCTAAGGAGATTGTGAACTGCATTGTCCGACCATGAACTACGGTATTTCCTGGATGCAATCACTTCACTACTATGAGGAAATTGTCACGGTCGTTTCAGACTTTTTTCGCTTTTTTCGCTTTTTGACCTCTAATTATCTCAAAATTCGACCTTGACCCTTCCACACATGCTAGGACCTGAAATATATCAAAACAAGCACAACCTAGCGTGAAATATGTTGAGGAACGATGAAATGCTAAGCTAAACAAATAAGAAATGAGGGGTAAAATGTGTACATTTGAGCCCGAATCAGGGCTCAAATCACACTTAGACGTTTGCTTGTCCCCAAGCAAACTAAGTACAAAACAAGGTACGTTTACAACTTCTTTTTCAACACAATCTTTTGGGGCATGTCATAGGGCACAAAACCAATGAATCACAATGGTTATTTGACACCAACCTATGGACAAAAACAAATTAATCTTGGAAACCACCACAAACGACATTCAATTGTATTAAGATTGTGCCAAAGAAGAGTTCTCACATTATTCACGAACCCCCACACAACATGCCTCGACGACTCACCAATCACAGTTACTCATGCATGAAGATCACATCATAGGAACTAACGATCGAGCAACCTAGGTCCTCACTGGGGTATAAGAAATGAACTAAACATGATGAATAAATCACTCACTCTCGACCAGTGGGGTCAGGACCATTTGATGCAAAAGATGTGCATATTCACGCTCAATCCTAACGTCCCTTTATCATGAAGGTAACCTCTAAATGTTAGAGCTCACAAGATGGGTGTTGTTGCTAGCTTCCAAACACAAGGGTGACTCGATAACGGTGTATACACGAAGAAAGTAGGGTCGTTCTATCTAAATCAATCAAGATAAAGTAGCATGAGCTACCTAACACGGGAACGACCCTTAGACACACGACTCAAAGGGGTCAACATTTGGGTCGCGAACTAAACTTATGCCTCCTTCTTCCTCGCTAGCAACAACGTGAATGCTACACATCATGTTAAGGGGGAACTATCGCACAAGATCGAAACGAACGGCACAAGTCTCACATGACTACCTAGGTGCTCAATCATTCGTTCTAACTCCCTAAACTCGATGCATAGGCAACTGTGAAAAGCAAGTAACTGATTCAAAACATCTATTGGCTCACAAATACATGAGAAATGAACCTATGCACAAACCTAATACATGTCTCGGTCATCATCATAGGTTGCACAAAATCACATGCAAATCATCCATAGACAATGCTAATAACCACGATATTCAAAACAAATCACCACAAGGTGCCACTACGATCATGCAAATGTAGAAGTTGTTATGCTTGGAGCCCTCAAATTTTGAAAATTTCGGCATACAACTAGGCTCCAAGCATTCAAAATCACACCAAACATTCACACACAAATGCATAATAGACTACCCCCCCCCCCCACACACACACTTAAGCTCGACATTGCCCTCAATGGCGTAAGAGAAGGGGATAGAATGATGTTACCCGGTCAAGTTGTGAATGTTTGTGCTTGGGAGTGGAGGGCGGGTGAGATCCGGAAGAGCAAGGAGACAGAAAAACACCACCAAAATCTCTTCATTGATCGTCTTATTGAAAGGAGAAGAGATGCAAACCGTTGATGGTTGGGTTGCCTCCCACCAAACGCTTCTTTAACGTCGTGAGCCGGACGGTTGCTATTCAAATTTCGGTCCACCCAAGAACCTCCTTGAAGTTGAGGTTCTCGTCGGTGAGGTGGTGTCTCAAGTCACGAGCTTTGGACGAGTCCATGATTGAGGGCTCGTGAACTTGAGTGGCTTTGAGGCTCCACCCACGAGACCTCTTCTTCTTTCCTTCTTCCTTCTTCTTTCTTCTCTTTGCTCCATACCATGTAGTGCATCATCTATTTACCACCATTGCATCCACCAAGAGGGATCGCCGATGGTTTGGCCTTGGCTTGGCAAAGAGCCGCAAATGGGTCCTTCTCAAGAAGCACGTCGAGGTCGGGTGGAAAGCTTTCATAGCTCTCTAACTTGTGGATGCTTCATCCACCTCGACCTTGTCCTCATTTTGGACTCCACTTTCCCCTTCAACTTCTTCTTCAACCTCCCTTCGTTCTTCACTTTGTTCCTCACCTTGGGAACACTGAAGATCTTCTTCCTCTACAATGCTTTCTTCCTCCTCTTCAACCTCTTCTTTCTCCAGCCCATTCATGTCCCCAAGCACGAATTTGAGGGCAAAATGAAATACAAGGTCATAGAAGGGATTCTCTTGCTCCTCCACATGCGTGTCTTGGTCTTCAATGTTGCTTTCGAGAAGGGGAAAGTGATGGGAATCATCAATGCAACCTCTTGTTCATCCTCACCATGGGAGCTCTCCAGGGTGAGTTCTTCTTGCTCCACACAGTTGTCATTGATCGCTCCTTCAACCTCCTCTTTCTCCTCCAATAATGATAGGCTATAGCTTTCACAAGCTCGTGCCACTTTCTCTTCTAGTGTCAAACCGGGAGGAGGGAGGGGTTAGAAATCCATGTCGGAGCTCGGTCTTCCAAATTTTTCATGGCTCGCCTCTTCGACTTGCTCTCTTTCTTCCAATAGTAGGAGGCGATTGTGGGCAAGTTGGGCACATTCTTGCTCAACAAGCTCTCCTTGCATCTTCGTGCATCGACGGAGCTCCTCCGCCTCCTGAAGAAAGGTTGAGTCGATGGGTCCGATGATGGGAAGATCTGAATTGGAGCATCCTTCGTTGGTACCCTGGGCAAATTGCTCCACCATGAGTTCTAATTTTCTCTTTGGCTCCGGTTGTAGAGTGGCACATGGTCGTGCTGATTTTCCCATGAAAGCTTCCATTGCCAACTCCAACTTGGATTTCTCCTTGACTCGAGGATGGAAGCTTTCTTCATATTGGGGAGCTTCTTGTAATTCCAAATGTTATGTTGGTTTCTCTTGGAAGGGAGGTTGATCATAGAACCCTGTTCCTTGGATTCCACCGTCTTGGTTACTCCATGAATCTCCGGGGTACCCCCATTCGGGTGGTTGTGGATACCCCCACATGTTGTAGAATCCATTGGGATCCATGATTCATCCTACATAATCAAAAATAAATTCAAACAAACACAAACCACCTCTCAAGACGAAGAGTAGGTCAACAAAATACAACACGAAACACAAAACATAAACAAAAAGGCAAGATAGAAAATGCAAGATTAACACTAAGCGACCTTTTAAAATAATGGACCGTGGTTCTCTGGCAATGGCACCAAAAACTTGACTCGCACGAAACTACACCACAAATTAATCCCGACTAGAGCCCAAGTTCTTAAACTCCAGTTGGGTGCAGTATAGAGCCAGTATTTAAATTGTCAACCCAGGCCGATCCATGTACCCCTACTTCGATCGCTTAAGTTGTTATCTAGCAAGCAACTTTATGGATTAGGTTTACTGGAACTACAAACTAACCAAGCAAAGAAAGGTAAATAAAGGAAAATTATAGCTACCATGACTCGTTGGAACCGCAGAGGAATGCATATGTGGTCAGAGACCACAGTCTCAATTGCTAACCCGAGGTAAGGATGAAAGGTCGTGTCACTCGACCCTCTCGGTTTAAACAATTTGTAATTGACTCACTCCCTCACTCAACTCTAAGGTCGGACGATTTAATCACAATTAATCGACTTTTTTAACTCAATATTTAGGGTCGCCCTAACTTAACCTTATTTAGGTGGCTTAGGAAGCGGAAGGAAAACCAACTCGATTGAGTCTCCCTTGAAATGGTGATTTTCCTCTCTAAGCTAGGCTAAGGTGGCAAATTAGATTACTAGCACCAAAATGCACAAACCTAGGGGGGCTAAGCACAATTATGCACTATCCTTAGGTTCCCAAGCACAATTATGCACAATCCTAAGGATGCTAAG